CTATTCAAGTTACTTTATATATATATATATATATATATATATTCATTGATAATTCAAATTAGCATGGTTAGGAAAATCCCTAACAAAGTATATATTGCTTCTTCATGTTCTTACAACAGAGTAAATTACGACAGCAGGCTTTTTCTTGAGAGAAAAAAAATCATTTTACATCTTTATTTCTTTCTGTGAGAAGATCATTAACTGAAATACAAAAAATAATAATTCTCAACTGAAATGTTGTGGCCGGAAACGTTTTCTAAGAAAGTGGGGCTGAAATATGTAACTTAACCCGTTTGCCTACTCTAATTCTACTATTAATTTGATGAAAAAGAAAGAAGAAGAACGCATTGGTCCAAGTTTTTAGCTCAAGGATGGTCGAAACGTTCCTAAGTTCATATATCAGCCACAAATATCCACAATTAAGACATGGTTCAGTTTCCTACGCCATGTTCTTAAGTCCTAGCTAAATAAAAGTCAATATATTCAATCCTTGTAATTAATGATGGTTATGAATTTAGCCTACGTACCCTAGCCCGTTCTTCAATACCTCTTTGAAAATGAGGAAGCCCCAAATTAATAATTTGGTAAAAAAGGAAACATCCCTTATTAGTCTTTTGACAAAGAAACGGCAAGAGACATTTGAAAGTACTCGCCCATACTCGGTAAGAAATTAAAAAGAAGATAAATTAAGGTTATTATTGTAAGGCTGACACAAATCAACTATGGCATGGATGCTGTTCGGTACTTCTCACACATGCACAAAATAAACCAATTCTATCCCATGCTTCGAGGAGGCTAACAATTGATTTTACTACCGTTTAAAAACTAAATATTTCTGTTTAATTTTGTCATATATAAAATGAAGAAAATCATTTACATCAAGATTAATTTAGATTTAAGTTGTGATAACCAAACATGATTAAAACCTTGTTTAGCGACGCGGTGCATTATGTTAAGAACATACGCATTCAACGTGGTGTGCGTCACGTTGTCAAGAACCTACTCCAAGTTTTGAGATGGTTGGCTATCTATTATGGGAGAAAATGATAGATGATCGTCCGGCGACTACTAGCCATGCGAGGCGGTATTTACTCCACTTGTGCCGAAGCATCTCGGTGTATATTGCCCGCCGCAATTAATACAATTTGAGGCATTCATATACCCTCTTGCGCCTTTTTTTTTGCATCAAAAGCACTTTCCATCACCTTTTGCCTTCTCTCTTCTTATTTACTCCTACGTACCTATAATTGATTGACAATTAAAGAAAACCCCACCTTCTCTCTCCCCCACCTCTCCTCCTCAAACTCACTATATAACTAATGGTATGGTGGGAGATTTCAAGAAGGAAGCCAGGCTCTTGTTAACGGTGGAGGACAGTGCAAAGTAGCTAGTTTAGGTGCTGCTAGTACGGAGTCCTCGTATTGCCAATTCTACCTTTGGCACTTCTGAGACTTCCAATCTCCTCTACTTAATTGGCTAGACTTTACACTAATTGACACAAGGTACGCCACTTTCTTCAATTCTTATATAGATTTGACGCCTCCTGATCTTGTTAATCTTTTTTTTAAAAAAAAAAAACTTCAATTTCTGATTGTAATGTTTCATTCATTCTCTAAGGAAATGAGTCGAGTAGGAGATAGCTCCATGTTGGATTTGGAGCTGAACCTTTCACCATCTAGGCCTAACCCGCTAGTCGAATCACCGAAGGCATCGATTTCGAATGCATCTTCTGAAATATTGTCAGCAGAGAGCTCTTGTGTTTCACCAGAGCCTGAAGACATGACTGTTAACTTCCCCAGAAGCGTCGTCACAACTCCTATGCTAGTAGCTGGCTGTCCTCGATGCCTCATGTATGTTCTGTTATCCGAGGTGGATCCGAAATGTCCGAAATGCAAGAGCACAGTCTTGCTTGATTTTCTCAGCGCGGAAAACAACAAGAAGACAACGAGCTGAAAGGAAGATCCTAGCTAGGGTTCTTCTTGTTGTTATTCATGGACAAACAACATGTTACTTTTCCTACCTACGTAGAAGTCTTTTTTATTATCTATGATTTATGTCTATCTAGTCTTACCTCTTTTTTCTTTCCTAGTTCTCTCTCTGTTCCGTGTTGACCCAGTTTTTAGCTTGTTAGCTTTGTTCAATGATGTTCTTGTTTGATAGCAGTTTGGTTGCCAATAAGCAAATCGATCGCATGCAATTTAGGGTTCCATTGCTACAGTTTCTTATGAATGTTTGTAGCCACATTCTGATCTTCTGTCTTCTCTAAAACCAAAAAGGCTGAGTTTTTGCCTTTTATCAAATAAAATTGAGTGTGTGTTCTTATTCATGCCTTTTATTTCTCTCTCTTTATATTATGGTTTACAAGTACAAGTCTAACACTTCAAATAATTAGATTTGTACCCATAACACTGATGATTTTTACATGATTTTGTTTATAATATGCATATATATTCAGTACTAGCTAGGTTGAACACAATCATAACTGTTTTTACAAGAACACAAAACGACGATTAAACAGTTGATCAGTTCATAACCTTTTATTATTATTATAATTAAAGGGTATGTTGGAACTCAAACTTCTCTAAAAAAAAGAAGAAGAATAGTAATACAAATTAGGTTATATGAGTTTTATGCTACTAAAAATTTAATCTCATCTTAAAATACCTCAAAATACTTTAAAAATCTCAGAAAAATAAAAACTTAACTCTAAAACATTATCTAGTCACGTGAAAAATTAAAAAAAAAAAACTAAATTTAAAAAATTCATAGACACCAATCTACTTATATATATATATATATATATATATATATATAATGCCATGGCTTATATATATATATATATATATATAATGGTTAAGATTACTTCTAAAAAGAATGTATTAATATCAAAATAGTTTTTGCATGGTTAGAATGTGATGGGTTGAACCTCTCTCTCTCTCTTTTTTCCCAGCAACTTTCCCCTTTTTTTTTCAACATCTAGAAACTATCTTTATTCTTTTAATTTTTTAAAATCTACTTAAAATTAATTTTATTTTATAATATTGATTTTTAATTTAATTTCAGAATATTTTCAAACACTTCACAGCTCATGGGAGAACATGCAAAGAAAAAAAACAATCCTAACATGCAAAGCATTGCAAACATAATTTGTGAATGTAAAATACTAAAAAAATAAAAATAAAAGCTGTTCATTAATTGTTAGCTTCTTACTTCTCGTACGAATTTGTTAGAAATTCATACAAGAATTACTTATCATGGAATTAATTCTACTGCAGAAGGCAATAGATCAGTATTGACATTACAGTGGAGACCTTCTACTGTTTGTTTCTGAATTTTAAAAGTACTTTAAAAAAATTTAAATTTTTTTATTTTTTTATTTCAAATTAATATGTTATTAGTAGTTGTGATTTTTTTATTTATTTCAAATTAATATGTTCTTAGTATTTGTGAATTATTTTGATGTGCTTATATAAAAAATAATTTTTAAAAAATAAAAAAAATCATTAATATATATTTTATCATGAAAAGTTATTCAAAAAACAATTATAACCATATTATCGAACAAGCTAGCATATAACTGATAAAAAAATTGTTTTTTAAGCATTTTTTAATAATATTTATATTTTTAATTTAAATAATAAAATAACTAAAATCTTAACTTTTTTTTTTATTTTATTTTCTACCTCCGTGGTAGATCCATTAAGCTCGTATCAATGCATTAACTGTTTCATTGAGTAGTTGAACTAACTTCTCAAAATTCTTGTAAGAGCATCAAACACCCACGTCCACGTGCACTATCAGGTAAGAATTTTCAAACTCATGATATAACCAAGAAATATGGGTTGCTTGAGATTGCAAGGTTCTCTATGGGTTTAACAATTACATATTAAAATCATTAAAAAAAATATTTAAAAATATCAATTTAATATTTTTTTAAATAAAAACACTTTAAAAAAACAGGTTAAATCGTAAAAATAAAAACTTAAATTTCATTTCATGATCTTTTAAATCAGTACAAAATAACTTAGATGAAGAATTGAGTTAACTCACAGCATCTCGAGCTATCTTCTTCTTTTTTTCTATTTCCTTTTCCTTATGCATTTTGTTTCTAAAAGATTAATTCCCAAGCAATATGATTATTGGGTGGTTTAAGGAAGTTTAACAGATTATTAATTAACACATATGCCTAGTAAAAATTAAATAGTAATATATATATATTGAATTTTAAAAAAATATAAATGTAGATCGGAAAGGAAAACTTACTTGTGAGAAGTTGCTTTCTTATTCCTGAATCAATTACTTCAGTGTCACTTAAATTACTAGAATCAAAGTGATGTTCCACAGTACGAACGTCTTTATAAATGTTGTCAAGTCAATGCAGAAAATCAAGATAGGAGAAGAGAAAGAGAGAACTAAGTTTTTTCAATAATGAAAAACTTATATTCCATATGAGTTATGTCCCTTTATATATTATTAGAGAAAGTGATTACTTTCTTTATTAACTTCTCTAATAAATTGGATTAGGCTCATTTAGGGGTATTTAAAAAAACCGAAAAATCGATTAAACCGAGAAAACCGAAAAAAAAACCCGAAAAAACCGAACCGAAAAAAAAACCCGATTAAACCGATTAAAATTTTGAAAAAACCAGCCGGTTCGATTCGGTTTTATAACCAAAAAATCAAAAAACCAAACCGAACCGAAACCGGAAAAAACCCAAGCCAAACCGGAAAAACCGAGCCAAAACCGAGCAAAAACCGATTTGAACTGATTTTTCCCTTAAAAAACCGAACCGAACCGAAACCGGTAGGTTTGACCTAGTTTTGGTTCGGTTTCGGTTTTTTTTTTTCAATTTTTTTTTTCCGGTTTGGTTATTTTTTTTGATAAAAACCGAACTAAACCAAAAATAAACACCCCTAGGCTCATTTATCATGGGCGGACCAGGCCTAGCCCATTAACCAATAATAAATATTTTATATGGTACAAATATATATTTCAGATTTGATTTAAATTGAATTTTAGATTGGATTTTATAATATTCATGCTATTATTCATCAATAAATACAACTATCATGAAAAAAATCATCCATGCAGGTAGATTTAAATCATCATCCACACGTTTTGCATCAAATCGTCATATCCCTTGAGGAAGATCAAAATATAAAAAATTAAAAAATTTAATGGCATATTTTCGACTAATATAGGCCTTATTGGTAAAGAAAATTCAATTTAAGGAATCAATTGGAATTTTTCAAAGTTTAATTGAATTTATTGAGGGCCTAATTGCAAAAAATATTTATTTTTAAAGTCAATTTAGGCTTTAATTGGAAGAAATTAAAGTTTGAAGATCGTGTTATAATTTTTAATAGTTAATTTGGATAAATCAGGGGTTTAATTGCATAAATATTAAAGTTTTATGAGTAATTAGAAATTTAATTGAAGAAATCCAAAATCAATGATCAACTTGTAAGAAGCGCAAGACTTTAGGGAATGAAATTGGTGAAATCAGGTGCTAAATTGATAAAAAAAATAAAAGTTTAATGATCAATTAAAAGTTTAATTGAACAAATCAGAAACTAAGAATCAAAATGAAGATGACACTAAACTTTAATGCTAATATTTGAATCTGGCAGGAGTTAAATTACATGCAATTAAAAAGTTTTTTATATTAAGTAAGATTGCATGTGCAATAATTAAAAAAACATAGATTAAATTGAAACTTTTTCAAATCCCAAATTAAAATCTGTAATTTTCAGGATTTAACTTATATTACTTATCATTCAACTTTTGTTTATCTTTTTTCTTAGAGGTTCACAATAATCAAGTTTGGCACCTTCTAAGAACTCATTGTAGAGTTCTAGACCTCCAAATAGCATGAGATGTTTTGCAAATGGAAAAGGAACATCCCTTCTAAGACTCTATTTTTATAAAATTAAATGTTTATATCCTAATTTTTCCATGAAAGTCCACGCCGTCTTATCCTTGATCATCCATCACTTAATTTTTAGATTTTAGGTTGATCACGTTGGCATCTTTGAACAAATGAATATATAGCTATAAACCTTTAAATTGAGCAAAACTAGATTGAAATAAAAGGTATGCATCCTTTCTATCAAATTCAGGTGGTTTTAAACAACGATGATGTCAAAATTACTTTGAGAAAGCTTTAAAAGTCGACAACTCAATCAACCTCAATAATACAACTATCATGCAAAAGACAATTTGGTTTTCATGTGTTCATGTATAAAGGTTCCTCAATGGAACCTTGTCAAAAGTTCACAACAGTCCTCTCAAGATCAAGAGGTTATATATGAATTTAAAATCTCTCAAAAACCCTTTAAATACCTCTCTTCAAGATTAAAAAGTGGTTGAATATAAAAGAGAAAAAGAAAAATGAGAGTGATATCAATAAAAAATATAAGGGTAGAGATCCGAGAGTAAAAACAAAAGTTCTCTTAAGCTTTATAAGATGTGAGGCAAAATTTTCTAAATGAAAGCCAAAATAAAATAGTTGATCTAAGTGTACTTTGCAAACCTAAAAATAGGTTATTTGTCGCTTATTTTTTTTTTATGTTTATGTTTTTCAGCTTAAAAAAAAGGTTTAAATGTTTAACAAGTAATGTTGTCTTCATCTCTTTATTGCTTTGATTTCTATTTAATGAAATTATTTTAAAGTTTTGTTTTATGTTTTTAATGTATTAAAGTTATTGTTTAAGTTTTTTTTATATATATAAATGTTATTTTAGCTTTGGTTTAGCTTAAATTAATATTAAAGTAATGGTGTTTATTCTTAATTTGTTGAGTTTGTTCATACACAAAATAAGTTTAGAAAACCAATTTTAAATCTATGTTGCATAAATATGTAGGCTATTTTAGATTATTAGTTTCTGGATTTGATATCTCATATTTGATTTTGATGTTTTGATTTTTTTTTAAATTCAAACATGTTTGTATATAATATTATGATTTTTTTTAATAAAAAAAACATATTTTAGAGGCCAAAAATACTTATTTCTAGGCTTAACAATAGCTGCCCTATAGCTGGTTTTTTCCTAGGTTCTGGGCAATGTTTTTCTATGTTTTCTGAAAAAGACATTGCCCTAAATTCTTAATTTGGATCAATATTACTCTATTTCTTTGCACAAAACTTTTTTTAAAATTGATTAATTATTAATCTAGTGATTTTTTATGTCAATAATATATTTATGAAGATTTTTAAATTAATGAAGAGTATTAAAAGTATTAATGCATTCTTTTAGTTTTTTTTCTTAAAGTTTTAAATTAATTAGGATTTTTAGTGATTAAAATATTAGATGATAATTTTTTAATAAAAATTTTTCATTATTTCCATCGATATTATTGTCAACTATCCAAATCCAAGGGGATAATCGTAACAATATTTTCACATAAAAAATTTGCTAGTTTGAATTATGTGTATATATTCCCAAAAAAATCAGGCATTTTAAGTTTCATCTAAAAGATTCCCCCCTTTTCTTCGCACAGTACTCGTAATCCTCCAGCTACGCCTTGTACAAAGCGCAGAGGTGAAGAAGGACTTGTCAGAGGCCCTAAGCATCCCCCATCGCACGTATCACCATCATCATTACTAAATTAAATTAGCGGACAGGACTGGTGTTTCCGGTAACCTGCATTTATGATGGGCATTAGATCCATGGGGGGTTTTTTTTTCACTCTCTTTTGAATGAATTCAAGAACGAGGAAGGGGCACTTTTTACATACAAAATTAAATTAGATTGGTAATAACAGCCCAACACAAGGAGTGGATAATGGATTGATCAGGTTGCGTGGAACAAAAAAAGAAAAAAAGAAAGAAATTGAAACTCTTGTGGATTCTGGGTTCTAGACATGAACATGAATTGGGCCAGCATAAACATGGATGTAGAATTTATGTAGAGATGGTAGTTGGGTTGAATCCAATAGCTTTTATTGGATTGTCCCCTCCCATTTTCGTGCTACGACCACTTTATTTCTGTCTGGAACTTCAGTCTTGTAGCTTTTAAATTGAAATATTAAGTTTAAAACAAGTTTTAAATCATAGTTTTTTTAAAAAAATGTTTGAATAGAGATTTTTTTTAGTGAAAACGATGTAAAATTATGGTGTGTATGATTGGGTAAAAACTTTCAAAACTATTATTGGAGTAAAATACAATTCCAACTACATCTCAGGTTAAACTAACCTTTTAATCACTTAAAAATGGGATCTAGTCTCTTTTTTTTTTTTTTTTTTTTTTTTTTTACTTTTATACGTGGATGGAGAAATAATGCATTAAGACTATAGTTATTAATATAAAAAGATAAATTTATAAAATCAAATCATTGTTGATTCAAGTTGATGTAATTTTTAAAAGTAAAGTAAGCTCGAGCTTGACCAAGTCCACTAGATCAACTCCAAGTTAAGTATTTCTTGACACCCAACCTAGATTGGGGATGGGTTATTCGAGTTTAGAATCAAATATCTAAGCCCGTGGAGCACACAATTTATAACTTATTATTGCATATATTTAAAACTTATATATGTAACCAGATGCTCCAAAAATATCTAAGAAGGCATTGGCTTAATTTAAAAAAAATAAAATAGGTAGCAAATAATTGAATCTTCTAATTCAGCATAATTCAGGGAGGTTTGATACATTTTAGTCCACAAGGCATCGTCCTTCGTTCTTTGGGTAAGATACCTTGACCCAAAAAGCAACAGATTAAAATATTAAGAAAAAAACACGAGGAATTCAGAGCCATTGCTGACCGATGTTAACGAGCTTGACCAGGTGTTTAGAATGTTTTTAATTGGATAAGAATATTTAATCCCTTTCCATTAACGATATATAGTCCAAGAGAAAGCACATCCGCGGCAGAAGAGTGAAGGTTGAGCTTCCCATCCCCTCTTGTTCTCTCTTTTTTTTTTAAATTATTATTAAACCTGCATCTTGGTCCTTGATAAGACAAGCAACTGATCTTATATCATCTAATTAATTATTGTCATTAGTTAATTAATCACTTGTATTGGCAACTTGCTTAGCAGGAAATTAATTTGTTTTTTCCATCAAGATTTTTATGATTATAAAATATCCATCAACTTAATCACAAATCCCACGTGCATTATGAGTCTCCATTAACTTATAGTAATTCTAATATTCTAAGATGTTTGCTCTTTAAGTTAAGATTGTCCAGAATTCCAAATTCACGGAAACATTCTTCTTCTTCTCCATCTTCTTCTGATATATATATATATATATATTAGACGAAAACATTTTATTTTTGTAAATGCATTATTTAAATTAAATGGGATGAACTTCTTGCGATCTAATCAGAATTATACCTAGTTTTGAAGTGAAAGCCCATCCATAAATACTCTACAAATTAAGATAAAAAGAAAAGAGAGAATAGTCTAAGAGTAAATTTACAAAGAAACCGGCATTATTTTAATTATTAATAGCCTAGTAAATTTGGTGCAAGTTCCATGTCAAAGCCAAGTGGAGTGTTATTATAAAACAAAGAGGTGATGTTGAAACCATATTTAATTTAAATTCAAGAAAAAAAATTGTTTGAAATAAAAAAAAAAAACATTTGAATTAGATTTCTTGGAATAGCTTATGAAGTATTGTATTATCTTAAAAAACTTTTAAGGGAAAATCTTATAATAAGTGATTTTTCTATAGTGAGTTGATGGCTATTTCTGATTAAATGTGTGTTTAGCATTATAGTTGTTGTAATTTATTTTTGGGGCCTCACATAAAAAAAATAAAAAGAAAAATACAAAATAATTGAAAAAATATTGAAAGAAAATAAAAATATATATATTAGCAAGAAAAGTATACCAAAACACCTAAAAAATTGCTAAAGACAACTTGAGGAAGATCAAAAATATAAAAAATTAAAAACTTTAATGGCATATTTTCGACTAATATAGGTCTTATTTCGAAATATAGGTCTTATTGGCAAAGAAAATTCAATTTAAGGAATCAATTGGAATTTTTCAAAGTTTAGTTGAATTTATTAAGGGCCTAATTGCAAGAAATATTTATTTTTAAAGTCAATTTAGGCTTTAATTGGAAAAAATTAAAGTTTGAAGGTCATGTCATAATTTTTAATAGTTAATTTAGATAAATCAGGGGTTTAATTGCATAAATATTAAAGTTTTATAAGTAATTAGAAATTTGATTGAAGAAATCCAAAATTAATGATCAACTTGTAAGAAGCGCAAGACTTCAGGGAATGAAATTGGTGAAATCAGGTGCTAAATTGATAAAAATTAAAAGTTTAATGATCAATTGAAAGTTTAATTGAATAAATGAGAAACTAAGAATCAAAATGAAGATGGCACTAAACTTTGATGCTGATATTTGAATCTGGCGGGGGTTAAATTGCATGCAATTAAAAAGTTTTTTATATCAAGTAAGATTGCATGTGCAACAATTAAAAAAACATAGATTAAATTGAAACTTTTCCAAATTCCAAATTAAAATCCGTAATTTTTAGGATTTAACCTATATTACTTGTTGTTCAACCTTTGTTTATCTTTTTTCTTAGAAGTTCACAATGATCAAGTTTGGCACCTTCTAAGAACTCATTTAAGGAGTTCTAGACCTCCAAATAGCATGAGATTTTTTGCAAATGGAAAAGGAGCATCCCCTCTAAGACTCTATTTTCATAAAATTAGATGTTTATATCCTAATTTTTCCATGAAAGTCCACACCATCTTATCCTTGATCAACCATCACTTAATTTTTAGATTTTAGGTTGATCATGTTGGTATCTTTGAACAAATAAATATAGAGCTATAAACCTTTAAATTGAGCAAAAATAGATTGAAATGGAAGGTATGCATCCTTTCTATCAAATTCAGGTGGTTTTAAATAACGATGATGTCAAAATTGCTTTGAGAAAGCCTCAAAAGTCGACAACTCAATCAACCTCAATAATACAACTATCATGCAAAAGACGATTTGGTTTTCGTATGTTCATGTATAAAGGTTTTTCAATGGAACCTTGTCAAAGGTTCACAACACTCCTCTCAAGATCAAAAGGTTATATATGAATTCAAAATCTCCCAAAAACCCTTTAAATACCTTTCTTCAAGATTAAAAGGTGGTTGAATATAAAAGAGAAAAAGAAAAAAAATGAAAAATAAGAGTGATATCAATAAAAAATATAAGGGTAGAAACCCGAAAGTAAAAACAAAAGTTCTCTTAAGCTTTGTAAGATGTGAGGCAAAATTTTCTAAATGAAAGCCAAAATAAAATAGTTGATCTAAGTGTACTTTGCAAACCTAAAAATAGGTTATTTGTCACTTTTTTTTTGTTATGTTTATGTTTTTAAGCTTAAAAAAAAGGTTTAAATGCTTAACAAGTAATGTTGTCTTCATCTCTTTATTGCTTTGATTTCTATTTAATGAAATTATTTTAAAGTTTTGTTTTATGTTTTTAATGTATTAAAGTTATTGTTTAAGTTTTTTTTATATATATAAATGTTATTTTAGCTTTGGTTTAGCTTAAATTAATATTAAAGTAATGGTGTTTATTCTTAATTTGTTGAGTTTGTTCATACACAAAATAAGTTTAGAAAACCAATTTTAAATCTATGTTGCATAAATATGTAGGCTATTTTAGGTTATTAGTTTCTGGATTTGGTATCTCATAGTTGATTTTGGTGTTTTGATTTATTTTTTTTTAAATTCAAACATGTTTGTATATAATATTATGATTTTTTTAATAAAAAAAAACATATTTTAGAGGCCAAAAATGCTTATTTCTAGGCTTGACAATAACTGCCCTATGGCTGGTTTTTTCCTATTCTGGGCAATGTTTTTCATGTTTTTGAAAAAAGCATTGCCCTAGACTCTTAATTTAGGCCAATGTTAGTTTATTTCTTTGCACAAAACTTTTTTTTTATGCATGATTAATTAATAATTTAGTGATTCTTTATATCAATAACATATTTATAAAGATTTTTAAATTAATAAAGAATATTAAATGTATTAATATATTCTTTTTATATAGTCAGTTCTCTTTTTTAAACTTTTAGACTAATTAGAGTTTTTAATGATTAAATTATTAGATAATAATTTTTTTTCTTACTAATAAAATATAAAAATTTCTCATTATTTCCATCCATATTATTGTCAAATCCAAGGGGATAATCGTAACAATATTTTTTCACATAAAAAATTTGCTAGTTTGAATTATGTGTATAGATTCCCAAAAAAATCAGGCATTTTAAGTTTCATCCCCCTTTTCTTCGCACAGTACTCGTAATCCTCCAGCTACGCCTTGTACAAAGCGCAGAGGTGAAGAAGGACTTGTCAGAGGCCCTAAGCATCCCCCACCGCAGGTATCACCATCACCATTACTAAATTAAATTAGCGGACAGGACTGGTGTTTTTGGTAACCTGCATTTATGATGGGCATTAGATCCATGGTGGGTTTTATTTTCACTCTCTTTTGAATGAATTCAACTATTCAAGAACGAGGTAGAGGCACATTTTACGTACAAAATTAAATTAGATTGGTAATAACAGCCCAACACAAGGAGTGGATAATGGATTGATCAGGTTGGAACAAAAAAAGAAAGAGAGAAAGAAATTGAAACTCTTGTGGATTCTGGGTTCTAGACATGAACATGAATTGGGCCAGCATAAACATGGATGTAGAATTTATGTAGAGATGGTAGTTGGGTTGAATCCAATAGCTTTTATTGGATTGTCCCCTCCCATTTTCGTGCTACGACCACTTTATTTCTGTCTGGAACTTCAGTCTTGTAGCTTTTAAATTGAAATATTAAGTTTAAAACAAGTTTTAAATCATAGTTTTTTTAAAAAAATGTTTGAATAGAGATTTTTTTTAGTGAAAACGATGTAAAATTATGGTGTGTATGATTGGGTAAAAACTTTCAAAACTATTATTGGAGTAAAATACAATTCCAACTACATCTCAGGTTAAACTAACCTTTTAATCACTTAAAAATGGGATCTAGTCTCTTTTTTTTTTTTGATTTACGTGGGGTGTCCGGGTCAGCTTACATGCACCTCGACTAATCCCCACGACCCACTGAATACCCTGCAAACCCAGTAAGCATGTAAGGTACCGCGGGGTGACAGGCGTGCATGCCAGGACTCGAACCCAGGTGTAGTGAAAGAAGACAAATCTCTTCCACCACTAGGTCAAGCACTGGAATGCAATCCGGCCTCTTTTACTTTTATAGGTGGGTGGAGAAGTAATGCATTAAGACTATAGTTATTAATATAAAAAGATAAATTTATAAAATCAAATTATTATTGATCCGATGTAATTTTTAAAAGTAAAGTAAGCTCGAGCTTGACCAAGTCCACTAGATCAACTCTGAGTTAAGTATTTCTTGACACCCAACTTGGGTTGGAGATGGGTTATTCAAGTTTAGAATCAAATCACTAAGCCCGTGGAGCACAAAATTTATAACTTGTTATTGCATATATTTAAAACTTAAATATGTAACCAGATGCTCCAAAAATATCTAAGAAGGCATTGGCTTAATTTGAAAAAAAAAAAAAAGGTAGCAAATAATTGAATCTTCTAATTCAGCATAATTCAACAAAAACAAAAAAAGGAAGCAAATAATTGAATCATCTAATTCAGCATAATTCAGGGAGGTTTGATACATTTTAGTCCACAAGGCATCGTCCTTCGTTCTTTGGGTAAGATACCTTGACCCAAAAAGCAACAGATTAAAATATTAAGAAAAAAACACGAGGAATTCAGAGCCATTGCTGACCGATGTTAACGAGCTTGACCAGGTGTTTAGAATGTTTTTAATTGGATAAGAATATTTAATCCCTTTCCATTAACGATATATAGTCCAAGAGAAAGCACATCCGCGGCAGAAGAGTGAAGGTTGAGCTTCCCATCCCCTCTTGTTCTCTTTTTTTTTTTTAAATTATTATTAAACCTGCATCTTGGTCCTTGATAAGACAAGCAACTGATCTTATATCATCTAATTAATTATTGCCATTAGTTAATTAATCACTTGAATTGGCAACTTGCTTAGCAGGAAATTAATTTGTTTTTTCCATCAAGATTTTTATGATTATAAAATATCCATCAACTTAATCACAAATCCCACGTGCATTATGAGTCTCCATTAACTTATAGTAATTCTAATATTCTAAGATGTTTGCTCTTTAAGTTAAGATTGTCCAGAATTCCAAATTCACGGAAACATTCTTCTTCTTCTCCATCTTCTTCTGATATATATATATATATATATTAGACGAAAACATTTTATTTTTGTAAATGCATTATTTAAATTAAATGGGATGAACTTCTTGCGATCTAATCAGAATTATACCTAGTTTTGAAGTGAAAGCCCATCCATAAATACTCTACAAATTAAGATAAAAAGAAAAGAGAGAATAGTCTAAGAGTAAATTTACAAAGAAACCGGCATTATTTTAATTATTAATAGCCTAGTAAATTTGGTGCAAGTTCCATGTCAAAGCCAAGTGGAGTGTTATTATAAAACAAAGAGGTGATGTTGAAACCAGTAACTAGCCACCTGCAAGAAAATGTCCGAGAAACCCAGGCAAGCATCAAAAGCCATGGAAGACACCACCAGGAAGAAGAAAGTGAACGCAGCTGGCTGCTTCATCGCGATCTACGTATCCTCTCTGTTGCTGTCTCTCTCTCTCTGCTCCCACGACAACACTGCCGACGTAGTTTTCTCAATCTAAAATACCCACCTGGTACATTGAAAATGGTCCAAAATCCGAACTCTCCAAGTGAACCCACTTGGAATTTATTAAAGATGAATAAAAAAATAATAATGAAAGCGGTCTCATTTGGACCAAGTCAGTCAAACTCCTGACGCGTTGAATCTTTGAACTTTTATCACACTGCACACACACACACCGCAGCACTGAACCCTTCTCGCTTTCCAAGCAACTACCTCCTCCTCCACCCCCCACCTTCTTCCCATATAATATATATACCACACCTTCACCCTCTCACTCTCTTCATATCCAGCAGAACAGCAGAGAAGAAGAAAGAAGATATAACTTAGAGTCCTCCTCTCTCTCTTTTTCTCTCTTTCAAGCAATTAAAAAAAAATAGAAATGGAAGAAAGCAAGGAGATTGTAATTCGTGAAGTGTGGTCGTGGAATTTGGAGTCGGAATTCGAGCTGATTCGTGATTTAATCGATGAGTTTCCGTTCATCTCCATGGATACGGAATTTCCTGGGGTTGTTTTCCGACCACCAGTAGACCCCACGAACAACAGGAATTATTTCCGACAACTCAAGCCGTCGGATCATTATAAGATCCTTAAATCCAACGTTGATGCTTTGAATCTTATCCAGGTGGGCCTCACGTTGTCCGATGCGAAGGGAAACTTGCCTGATCTGGGAACCGAAAACCGGTTCATCTGGGAGTTCAACTTCAGGGATTTTGATGTGGAGCGTGACTCGCATGCTCCTGACTCGGTTGAGCTGCTGAGGCGACAAGGGATTGACTTTGAGAGGAATAGAGAGGAGGGGGTTGACTCGGCGAAGTTTGCTGAGTTGATGATGTCGTCTGGGCTTGTATGCAACGAGTCAGTGAGTTGGGTTACTTTCCACAGTGCATATGATTTTGGGTACTTGGTGAAGATACTCACACGCCAGGAGTTGCCGTCTAGGTTGGTGGGATTTTTGAGTTTGTTGAGGGTGTTTTTCGGAAATAACATTTACGATGTCAAGCACATGATGCGGTTTTGTAAGAGTTTGTATGGTGGATTGGACCGAGTGGCCCGGACCCTGGAAGTGAACCGAGAGGTTGGGAAATGTCACCAGGCCGGTTCAGATAGTTTGCTGACGTGGCATGCTTTTCAAAAGATGAGGGATGTGTTCTTTGTGAAAGATGGACCGGAGCAACATGCTGGTGTTTTGTATGGATTAGAGGTGTTTTGCTGATTAAAACATGCATGGATTATTTGATTCATTAAATTTTATTTTTGTAAATTAAGTTGGTGAAATTTGAAAAATAATCAAAGAAATTCTTTTATGGTATATTAGCATGTGTTATGGTGGTGTTTAATTAAGGCCTTGTTTGATGAATGAAAAAAAAATTAAAAATATATTATTTTATTAATATATGTTTAAGTGAAAATATTCACCTCTAATTTTTTTTAATTATTTTAATATATAGTTTCAAATGAAAATATTTTGAAACTCTAGTAATTTCAAGTTATTTTTAATTTGTTACATAACCTGTAGTTTTGTGACTAATTATTCCCAAAAAAGACATTTTTTTGAAAAAGGATATGATATTTTATCAAATTCATTACATGACTTATCTTTTAAAATATAGTATTTCATAGTCTCATGTTGAATCTTCTTAGGACAAGAGAGTTTGCATTGCCTTGGCCTACAGTGTACTATGACTGGGGAAAGTTCTTAATTACGCCTATTGCCCATCTTTTGTTTGATTTTGCATTTCGATCCCTCAAACACTGAATTTTTCAAATGGTTGACAAGGTCAGTTGTAGAAGTCCACACCACACACTGTTTACATTCTGGCTTTTTTTTCTTCTTCCTTCTTCATATGTTTTAATTTTTCAAAATTAATATTTTATTATCTATTTGAAAGTGTGATTATTATTATTTTTTAAAATAATTTTATTAAAAAATATAATAAAATAATATTTTTATTTTTTAAAAATTATTTTTGATATTAGTATATCAAAATAATTTAAAAACACTAAAAAAATATTAATTTAAAAAAATAAAAAATAAAAATATTTAATTTTTTTTAAAAAAATACTTTTAAAACACATAAAAAAAATCGCCTCGAAGCTTCCTATGTAATTGGTGCTATATAGTCCATATTGGCTGTCCATATATAATCCAGCCACTGCAGATTGTCAAAGTCATCGAGCATTAGTTGCACGTTTTCCCTTTCTTTTCTCTTGCAATTCATAGTTAAAATACCCATATTAGGATCTGACTCGATGCTAAAGTTTAATGGGTGGATTGACCGAAATTATATTTAAAAAAAAATTAAAATGATATTATTTTTATATATAGTTAGCTAGTTATGATAATGGTTAGTGGGATTGAGAGTGTTTCTGACTAGTTAGAACAATGACCAGTGGGATTTTGATTCATCACAAGGAGTAGACTTTTCTTTTCCATTCAAGTTGGGAGGAGAAGGATGAAAAGAGAAAATTGAAATGATTTTACTCATTTTTATCCTCTAAAAGATTATTTTCCTCCTTTTTTTTTAATTAATCAATATTTCCACAAAGAATTAAGACTTCATCACTCACTTCTCTCAAACTAAACAACCAAAAAAAAGAGAGATTATTTTCTCATATTAGTTTCTCTTCTATTTTCAAGCATTTTTTTAGTTGTCTTGCTGCCTGTTACTAACTACCAGCAGTTTTTTTTATTGTATTTCAAATGTGTTTTTAGGAAAATTAAAATATTTTTATTTATTTTTTTACTTCAAATTAATTATTCTTTTATGTTCTGAGATAATTTTTATATGCTGATATTAAAAAATAAATTTTAGAATATTAAAAAATATTATTTTAATATACTTTTGAATAGTAAATACTTCAAAATTCAACCATTATCACATTAGGGAATTGAAATAGTCTATTATTTGTGCCGTGGTAATCAATCAAATTAATCTGCCACCGTGATGCGATAAGTGTTAAGTTAGATTTCATCCCCTTTATTACACTAACAATAGTTTATGTATTTATATTTCTATTTGATATGATTTTCTTCAATTGATTTAAGATTTTTTTACTAAAAAATCATAAATATATTTAATCGGAAATGACTTGTAACTCATATCAAAATTTTGTTATAAAATTGATTCAAAATATTTATGTTATTAAAAATTAAAAAAATTTACCATTTCAAAAAAAAATTGGAGTCATTTTTATCAAATGTACTAATAACTTGATATATAAAAAACAATTAATTTAAGAATGTTGTAAAAAAGAAAATGGGTGGGCTAAAGTAGCTTTCTCACCACAGCCTTTTATAGCTAATTCCAACCTATTTTTGTAATAAATTATTTATGAAAAATAAATTACAAATTATAATTTAAAATCGAAATTCACTTTTTTATAAGCAATACCCAAATTTAAATATATCAACTTGTAAAAAAAAGGGTTACGTTTCCGACATTGTTTGTCCATGCTATGCTCGCTTTTTGTAAAATTTGAATTTTGTTATTTTAAATTAATTTTTTTATATTTAATGTTAAAAATAATTTTAAAAATAAAAAAAATATTTTTTTAAAAAATAAAATATTCTAAGATGTTTGCTCTTTAAGTTAAGATTGTCCAAAATTCCAAATTCACGGACACATTCTTCTTCTTCTTCTGAATATATATATGTATATATTAGATGAAAACATTTTAGTTTTGTAAATGCATTATTTAAATTAAATGGGATGAACTTTTTGCGACCTAATCAGAATTATACTTAGTTTTCAAGTGAAAGCCCATCCATAAATACTCTAAAAATTAAGATAAAAGAGAGAGAGAGAGAGAGAGAGAGAGAGAGAGAGAGAGAGAATAGTCTAAGAGTAAATTTACGAAGAAACCGGCATTATTTTAATTATTAATAGCCTAGTAAATTTGGTGCAAGTTCCATGTCAAAGCCAAGTGGAGTGTTATTATAAAACAAAGAGGTGATGTTGAAACCAGTAACTAGCCACCTGCAAGAAAATGTCCGAGAAACCCAGGCAAGCATCAAAAGCCATGGAAGACACCACCAGGAAGAAGAAAGTGAACGCAGCTGGCTGCTTCATCGCGATCTACGTATCCTCTCTGTTGCTGTCTCTCTCTCTCTGCTCCCACGACAACACTGCCGACGTAGTTTTCTCAATCTAAAATACCCACCTGGTACATTGAAAATGGTCCAAAATCCGAACTCTCCAAGTGAACCCACTTGGAATTTATTAAAGATGAATAAAAAATAAAAAATAAAAATAAAAACACTTTATTCACATTCCAAACACCATAAATACATGGTTATAAATAACCTGATTTTAATCATGTGATTTTTCTATAATATTTACATCACTTCAAGATTAAAAATAAAGATTGCAAGAAACCAAAAAAAATAAAATTGTTATAACTAAACTATGCGATAAGTAAATACTAAAAATTCCATACATCTCATGACTGAAAATAACATATGGTTAGGAAAAACTTGATCATGAGATCTACTAAGGAGTTATATTTAAAAAAATCCAAAATATTAATATTATCACATCTACTAAATAAACAGTATAATTAAGAATAAGATACTAAAAGTCTATTTGTTGGTTTGTTTTTATATTTTAAAAATATTTTAAAAGAATTAAAAATTTTATTTCAGATTAAATTTTTAATGTTTTATATAAAAATTAAATTTTTAAAAATAAAAAATATATTATTTCAATATATATAAAAGGAAGCAACGGATAAAGGCGGTGGATTCATGATGGCTGGCTTTGTTTATAAATAATGGCATTTATCAAAATGAACATTCATTAATAAATAAAATAATAATGAAAGCGGCCTCATTTGGACCAAGTCAGTCAAACTCCTGACGCGTTGAATCTTTGAACTTTTATCACACTGCACACACCGCACACACCGCAGCACTGAACCCTTCTCGCTTTCCAAGCTACTACCTTCTCCTCCACCCCCCACCTTCTTCCCATATATTTACATACCACACCTTCTCCCTCTCACTCTCTTCATATCACTCTCTTCATAACCAGCAGAATTAATATATATACCTCACCTTCTCCCTCTCACTCTCTTCATAACCAGCAGAACAGCAGAGAAGAAGAAAGAAGAT